GATAATTTAAACTCATACCTAACGGAATGTTTATTGATTCTTGATTAAATAATCATTTATTTAATATTGATACATCTTATTTGATTTGAATAATGTTTTCTATCAATGAGTAATTGCTGTCAATGAATAAATCACTTGTTCTTATTTTATCAAATACTAGTACATCTACCTTGTTTTTTTCTTAGATCCTCTTCTTTTTCTGTATTGCAATGAATAATTTATTATCTAGTATGTGGGTTTCTGTCTTACCATTCAGTCGATTCAGATGATAATTATCATCAAAGAAAGTGTGAAAATGGACATCTATTGAAGAAAAATATTTCATGAAGAGTATATTAATACTCAAAAATATTAAATTAAAAAAACAAATTCTGATATACAAATGTACTTATTGATTTATAACATGGTTTATTCATATTCGTTTGTTTGTATTAAAGCAAAATAAAGTAAAAAAAATTTTTTTGCTCAATCTCCAAAATGTCATAATTATTGAAAACTTTTTGTTATATTCATGAAACGGATATTTTTTACAGAGATTGTTTTTTGGTTGGAATGAATATTGTAAAAGTAATTGCATTACCACTGACGAAATTTTATTTCGAACAAAAATATTAATTAAATTTACGACGTTAAAAACATAACAAAAAAGCCAATAAAAAAATAATCCACTAATTGCGTGATTATGGTTCTCATTAATTTTACATCCAGTAATTCGATGATATTTTAAATATGTCATTTATATAATTTTTTTTAATAAACTTGAAATCTCTTAAAAATCTGACTTTCCACTCTCATATTTTTGGCCAATATTTAAATTAAAAATCTTATAAAATAAACACATAAATTTCTGTCTCTTTTACGATGACTACAATTTAATATCTATAAAATTATTGCATTTTTTCATATTCATATATTTTTTCACTATTCATTCTATTATTTATAAAAAAAACTCTAGTTTCATATATACAAACTTAAACCATCAGTTTCAATGTCACTTTATTTCTACCAGTCATTTTATGAGATCATAATTTTTACCTAAACGACATGTATTTAAAATATATTCTACATTACACCATCATTCAATACTATAAATACATCCCAATAAATAATAACCACACTCGTATCTATATTTTCATCATACAACATTTCCATAATTTTTATCGATTTTTGAAATACCTATAATTTATAACCGAAACGAAATTCTGCTCTAATTAAATAAAAATAATCTTCAGTCTTTATGTCAAAGTCATGTTGTAACAAAGATTTATGAACATGTGTAAACCGATAATCTTTATTTCTTGCATAAAAAATTTATTTTCATTTTTTATAGTTTTCATTTCCTTTATATTCAATTAAGTGGTCTTTTTTTTTTTACAATTACTACTTTTTTTCATCTCCAATGCAACGAATATTTTTATTATCATCAAAATAAATGCAATAATCACCCAACGATTAAAATCAACAATAAATTATTATGTCTGACAAATTTTTTTTATTAATTTTCCTATCTACGAATCGATTTCTGATATATCTCTTCAATAAGTATTATTTTTGTTTATGTATCCTCGCTTGTATTCCGTATAACTATTACATTATTGACTGCAGCTTATAAATATGCAATAAATTACTTTGCAAGATGCATTGAACGACGGATTTTAAGGTTGTAATAATGAAACTGGTGAAGTCGATCGTGTAATTTATGAAATAATCTTTTGTTTTTGATAAAAATATATCGATATTTGATCGTGATTATTTTTTTTCTGAAATTATTTACAGGTATTATAAATAATAAAATGAGAAGGATTGAGTAAAAAATAGAGTCTATTAACTACAACGCATTTATCCTGGCTGTATGAATGGGCTATTGCTAGACGTGCGTATTGTACGCTTGTAAATGTACTTTAAACCGGTTTTCGATCGTACCATGAACTGGCTGCAGTCGCGGATCCGGGTAAGTACTTTAAAGACAAGGTATACCCGCAGATCTTGAGAGAAGTCTTATTTTCCGCTTGTTCGTGAAAGTATATAACGTATTTAAACACCGAATATTTTATAATTTGATGGCAAAATGTGTAAATGTCGACATTTGAAATATTACAGATGCGTTAATTGTACGTTGGAGTTCAAAATTGGAGAGCTAGTGAAGAATTTTGACATTTATCTCCAAAGTTACAAGTAAAGAATATGAAAATGTAATAAAAAATACTACCAGCTTTCGAAGGGTACTTCTATGACCATTATGTGATAATTGCTTGAAAAGTTTTAAATGTTCAGACTCAGAAATAAATTTTTTCCTCCAAGAGCTCATCACTTAGCAGAAAATAATTGTAAAAAAATATTCAAAAAGCCTCTTAAAAATAAAAATCAAGCTTTGAAACTTTTAATTTACGTTTAAATAATTTTTTTTATGTGGCTTTGTAAATTAAAATTTTTTCTTTTTTTTAAATTATCTTAGATTGTATTATTGAATTTTATTTGAAAGTGATGAGAATTAATAGAATAATTCAAAAGAAAAAAGTTGGAGCAAGTATAATAAATAAGCACTACAATACGTCTTGGGTCATTAAAATGAGATAATTCTTAAGAAAAAAATACACCTGTTTTAAAAGCAGTAAAATTTTATATTCTTTGTGATGCTTTTTTAATTTTTAGACCCTAGTGCAAATAAAAAAGCAACAATAAAATGCTACAACTAAAAAAAGAAATTCTCTAAATTTTCGACCATAAAAATATCTCTTACATTCAGCCTATAATTCTGGAAAAAGCGCATTCACGTTTTAAAAGCAGCTTTTTTAAGACTCGTGCAGTATTCACACCACTTCCACAACGTTGAGCCTCCTTCGAGCGATAAAGGGTGCTTCGTTCCAAGTCTCTAGTTTATCTGTTCAACTTACCAAGCACACATAAGCTTTTTTTTATACTTAAAAATGTTAAGATGTCATGTTATATAAAGTGGTAGTGTGCATTTTGTGCAGGTCTCGATCGCCTCTGCGGTCGAATCTAGAGAAATCTACAAACTCGTAACCATGAAGAAGCTCGTATTTAATTCACGCTTGAACAAGTCAGCAGCAACCTCTAAAAGATTTCTGTCTCACAGACTTTAGTTACATTCACGTCTACATCTCTCAGAGCTTGCATTTTAGTTTTTCGACTCGGTAACTTTTCAAGCCGGGTGTAATTTGTACGAATTAAAAAATCTAATAAATGGCCAACCCCACCATCATTGATTGGAATTATCTTCCAAGACGAAATCGCTCAGTTCCGTTCTGCCAGACTTCCGTTTAAGTCTGAATGAATGGAAATTATTTTCAGGGAATAAATCCCCAGCCCCAGTGGTGAATTACCACCCACGCTGAACCCCTTTGGAATCTCGGTACTTGGCGCCGCAAGCGTTGACATTAAGTCTTGAGTGGTGGATATACCGGTTTAGTAATGCGAGAGAAACAAGCAGCCAGGAAGTGACGTCATAAACGTCAATAAGAAAGAAAAAATGAACAAGTAAAATAATTAATTAATCAAAATGATAGTAATAAAAGAACCAAGTATTTATATACTTGAGAAGAAATAAATAAAGCACAGTAATGGAGCATGTAGAGTGTTATCGATACGTTTGCAATAACACGAGGTTTCACTTATGAATATTTAGCGCCATTTGATGAATATTCATACACTCCTGACAATGTATTATTTTTCTCAGTGAAAGATCAATATTTTCATGACCACTAGTAGTAAGTAATATACACATGAACCAAGGATATTTTCCACTTGTGAAGTATATATATGAGTTCTTCAGTACAAGTGTGACCGCTTCACCAACATGATGCCTCTACGTACTCAGTACTACTCTATATGTACTTCTCTCCACTGTTTCACCATTTTCACTCCGTCTCACTTTTATTCTCCTCTGTACTTTATCACCTGAAATGTGTGACTGTACTGGGTATCGAGGCGTCAACCAAGCTACAATTTATTGTCAGTGTATACTCTCCGACGGCCCATTATTTTTCGATGACCGTTACTGAGTAACATAAAATTGAAATCACTTTTTTTTATCTCGAGTTAAAGCTCAGTATTATGTTTCAATCAAACCTTGAAATCATAAAAGTCTAAATAAAAATTGAGGATAAGGTTTGAAGCTTGGTACATTTAGAGAAATTTGATTAACTTTCTCAGAAATGAGATTTAAAAAAAAAAAAAGAAATAAAGTCAATATAAGTAAATAAAAGAAATGAATTATTTCCTGAAATAATTATAGAGAGCTTGCAGTCACGCTAGTATCACCTTAAACCAATAGAGTGTGTATTGTTCTAAGAATCTAATTAAAAACAAGCCTGTCATTGTCACTGTTATTATCCAAATGAATTTTTACTTTAAATGAAATGGAAGTTGTGAAAAATTATCAACGACCATTAGCTAGTCTATGATTTCCAAGATCAAGTGATATTGATGGAGTTATTATAGAATTTATATGTATGGGAGAATGATGATTGTTTTAACTTTTTAATCACATTGGAATAAATATTTCTTTTTCTTTATCCTAGATGTTTTTTATTCGCTGGGTTTGATATTAGATAAAAAGTGTAACAAGATAAAATCAACGTAAATATAAGTTTTAAAAAAAACTTGAAAATTTTTATGAAAAAGTTGTAAATAAATAAAAAAATTGCCTCGGTTAAAGTTCACATCTCCTTCAAGTATCAGACACTTGGAGTTGTTTAAAAAGTTTTTATCAGTTATTCAATTGATTTAAATTTAAAACGACACGAATGCCTTGATAGAAGAAGCTGATGCTATTTCGATTTGAGTTTTTTTCATTTAAACTTTTATTTAGTAATAATGAATATTTTCAATAAAACCATATTACTAATAAAATCAAACTTTTTCTTTTGTTTAAATAAAGTACTATTCTATCGTTATATAATTATGAAGTAATAGTCTTCAATCATATTCTATCCAGACAAGTTCTTATGACGTATTATATATGAAACTTTTTCACTCACCTTCATCATCTATAGTAAAGAATCCCATACCATCACCTCCCCGTATACTGTAGCTAACTTTTGAATCTTGCTCTGATGGATCTGCATCTCTTGCATGCACAGTAGTTACCAAAGTTCCAACTGGTTGATTTTCAGATACACTTGCGGATAAAATATAATCACCAAAAACTGGAGCATGAAGATTTTCATTCACATCAACAACTTCAATTATAAGCATTGTTTCAGATGATAAAGATGGCTCACCACGATCTTTAGCAACAATTGTCAATGTATGTACTTGACGTTGCTCGAAATCAAGATTCTTAGCAGTTCTTACAGTACCAGATATCTGGTCTACTTTAAAGAAGCCTTCACTGTCCATTGCGTCAGAAAAAAAATACTCAATTTCACCACCAGAACCTTCATCGGGGTCGTTGGCTTCTAGAATAGCTACGACACACCAGAGAGGAACATCTTCTCGTACTTTGACCGAATAACTTGGCAGAGGAAATGATGGTGGATTATCGTTAATATCATCAACCGTAACGCGCACTAAAGCATCAGAATAAAGCGGTGGGATTTCAGTGCCATGACCGCCATTATCACTAGCACGAATTTTAAGTTCATAAACCTCTTGCTTTTCACGGTCTAACTTGCCAAAAACACTTAGCACACCAGTCACTGGATCCACTATAAAATCTTTAGTTTCCGTCACTAATGAATACGTAATTCGAGCATTCTCACCAAGATCAACATCAGTAGCATAAGCACGAAATACATCAGTGCCATTTCGAGCATTTTCAGATATTTTGAAACTTGCTAATGGCTTTTCAAACTTGGGTGCATTATCATTAACATCCAATACTGTAATTGGTAGCATTTTGGAAGTTGACTTTTGTGGCTTTCCTAAATCATATACAGTAATATTAAGAAAATAGTTACTTTCTCTTTCACGATCTAGATAGCCAACGACATTTAAATCACCATTTTCTTGACCTATTTGAAATACCGAATCACGATCACCACCACTAATGCCAAACACCAGTTTACCATTGTAATCCAAATCTCGATCTTGAGCACGTATTTTAACAAGCGTTGTACCAATTGTTATGGACTCGTTGACTTTTATTTCGTTAGGAAAATCAACAAATTCTGGTGTATGAACATTACTGCCATATCGTCTGGGCATCAATATATGTCGATCGTTGTTAGTACGTTGGTTGTTTCTTTCAGCTAATTCGATAGCATCAGTGAGTCGTCGCGCGACACCGGTATCATGACAGTTAAAAGCCCCAGTTTCATTGTCAAGTATCTTCCCTTGAGAGCCCGAGTTCCTCTTTGCGTTCACCAGTTGCACGTGAATAACATTGATATCCGCAAAGTGTGTTCCGTCAGTTGCAGTTACATTGACATGCATTTCTGATACACTAACATCCGTGAGATCACACACAATAGAAAGCACACCAGTAATGGAATCAAGTGAAAAACATGCATCCTCATTCGTCGATTCTATTCGATAATTTATCATGTTGCCTGGATCTAAATCGATCGCTGATACTGTCAATATTTCTGAGCCTATTGGAATGTATCGAGGTACACGAACTATACAATTGATTTTCTCAAATTGTGGTCTATTGTCATTGACATCACGCACCTTAACTCTTAAATGCATTTCTGTCTGACGACGATAGGGAAGTCCCCAGTCACTAGCACGCACTATCAATAAATATTCTCTCTTCATTGTTTCATAGTCTAACAGTTGTTTAGTTTTCACAAGTCCAGTAAATGGATCTATCTCGAACGGTATATCTTCAATATTGTCAATGGAGTAAGATATGTAAGCATTTTCACCGGAATCACTGTCCTTAGCAGTTAGTTTAATTACACTCGTTCCAGCAGGCTTATTCTCATCCACTTCAACCAGCATCTCCGGTTGTTCGAAAGTGGGATCATTATCGTTTGCATCCATTACGTTAATTTTGACTTTAGCAGAGGATTGCTTTCTCGTGCCTGTATTACCCTGATCTACCGCTGATACTGTTAAAGTATATAATGTTTTACTTTCTGCATCAAGTGGTACAGCTGTATACAACATGCCAGTATTGGCATTAACATAAAATTCACCACCTTCGTTGCCCCCAACTATTTCTAAAGACACAAGAGCATTTTTACCCTCATCAGCATCTGTCACTTTTAATTTTATAACTGGCGTGTTGACAGGCGCTGTTTCTGGCACATCAACTTGATATACTTCACGACTAAAGACTGGTGCATTGTCGTTTGTGTCAACTAAATGGACTGGAACTATTTTGTGGCTAAATCGTTGCGGTGTTCCTTTATCAATTGCCCGAAGTGTGAGATTGTATCCATGATTGCTTCGTTCACGATCTAGAAGGTGGAGAATTTCGATAGTATATTCACCAGTTTTCTGGGTTGGTCTTATTCTGAAGTGGCCGTCCGGATCACCTCCTACGATATCTAAACTTGCTATTTCACCATGGACCCCTTCGTCACGGTCTACAACTCGTACAATCGCGTATACATCCGCGTTCGAATTTTCTACGATGTCCGGAAGATGATTCACATATATCTCAGGCGCGTACAAGTTTACCTGTTGGACCCTGATAGTGACCCGGGCCGTGCTTGCACGACTCGTGCCGACCCCACGGAAGAGGGCACCTCGATTCTCAGCCAGAACTACTAGCTCGTGGATGGCGCGTTCCACGTACCTGAAAAATATGTACACATCATTTTTTTCTGCAAATCATTATTCTCGTTTATATACATAGCTAATTTTATAGTGGATAGTTGCTTGTTTTACCAAGCAGGCATGCCATTGAAATGTAAATGATAAAACAAACCTGAGTGGCCTGTTGAGCGTGATGACCCCGCTGACCGGATGCACTGCAAATTGCTCAGTCTCTTCAGCGAAGCTGTAATATATCTCACCATTTCTACCCAAGTCGGCATCCTCAGCTACTACTTTAAGGATGCTTCTGTGTAACGGCGTATCCTCTGTTACAGTCTCCGTATATTCATTCGGAACAAACAGCGGGTTAAGGTCATTCGTATCGAGTACAGTAACTATCACCATCGTTTCCGCCTCCTGGACAATTGCTTTGTTCCTACCATTTCTCCATGTTAATGTCGCCCGTACTTCAAGTTTGTAATGATCTTTACGCTCACGATTGAGAACATCCACATTGCCGGTGCGAATCCGCACAAGGAGAAAGCAAAAGTCACCGACCCTGCGTTCTTCGGCCTTGAAAAACTTGTCTCGATCTCCACCCACTATACGATACTTAATTTCAGCCTTTTTGTCTTGTAATGATGACAACCAAATACCCATTTTCTCTTCGGGCATAACATACGTCTTTCCCATTGAGTTTTCCGGAATTGACACATTGTACTGAGGTTTGGTAAATCGAAAATCGTCGACTACATTATTTGACAGCGATTCTGATAGGCTTGGGTGTGGATTCGGCGTTGCAACGATTGGCTCATCTGCCAAACCATTGTAATCGTCTAAAGCACCAGAACCAAATGTAGCCCCAATAAACCACAACCACAGCCACATCCATGACCAGATGGACAAGCCACGGTACTGCATCCTCCACATGTTGCTAGCTCATCCTCTCTCGTTCGTTATTCAGCCAGTCTGCTTACTGATGATTGCTTCCCTCATTCGTTTCTTTTACCTGAAATACATAAAACAAAAATATATCAAAAAAAATGTTCAATCCACCAAGCGGAAAATTAATGTGTGAAAAGCAAGTCTGCATGATCTCTACCCTTTGATGTATGAGTAATTTATTTTCCAATAATGTATTGTTCGACCAAAATATTCATCTTTGTTGTATCCAACAAAAAATATTAACAATCAACCCTAGTAGTAATTCACGATAAGTTCATGTCTACAGTTGGAGATTATTGAAAGCGTATAATGCACAGAAACCAATCAGGAAAAATCGATGATTTGCTAACTTTAATTTTTTTTTTTCTTATTTCATTCACTATGTTACATTTGCAAAAGTTTTTCATTTGAAATTGAAGCAAACTCGAGAGTAATCTACAAGTAGGCCACCATTGAAACTGAACCCACTAGACTGACATCCATCTCTGTTATACACATGCACAGATCTATTAGAACATGGCTACGTGGATGCTTAACGATGCTAGCTTAAAATTATTCTACATCTCTAGTGTGCACTTAAAACTTTTTAAGCTTATATCTTCTTATAAGAAAATAAAAACAGATAAATAAAATGAAAATACCCAAACTGAAGGCCAAGTATTTTTATTCAAATGCTTGAAAAATTTTATTTTTTTTTAGCGAATATATACTTAAATAAAATTTATAGAAGACAAGTAATGCCTTTGTCATTTCCTGAATAGACGTATTAAAGCAATTAATCCTCTAGACTCAATTGTAAGCTAAAGCAGGATTTCTTGCCTGACTATTGTCAGTAAAGGATGTTAGTCGATTCTCTTCAATCTTTATATAGAAAAGAAATTCCATCGTCCAAAGCGCTGTTCTATTATTGATAACTGCTGCTATTTGATATTCAATAAAATGATCTATATGTTATGTACGTCTAAATGTGACATTTAATAGAAAATTATATTATTCATAATAATAACCGTTATTTTTTATTGAATATAATCATCAATTTCACCACCACTATTGTTTTTAAGTGTGCAAGTGAGCAAGAACACACCTGTTGAAGCAGAGTTACCAAGTGAAATATAAATATGATTATGATAGCAGATAGTATAAGTAGATTCTGCCAACAAAAACAGACTCGAAAAATGGCTCAAACATCTAGCTAGTGAGTCAACACATTTTTCTTTTTTCTAACTCATGAAATGTCTATTTCACCAGTTTCTTGCCTCATATACTTATCGATTATGCACCCCTCACATCAACTTGACTACTTGGCAAATTTATTTCGAATTTAATCTCCTTCGTATTATTTTGCTGAAATTTCAAGATGTCTTCTTCATCTGTAGACCAATAAAGAAATATGATCTCTGTATATACACGATGCATATCATGAACAAAACGCATTGCAGAATATGCAGCTGCAAACGTATGCTGAATATTTAACCCATTTGCAAGGACACACAATACATACGAAGTACAATACAATGTTTTCGAGGGGAGGGTTCAAAACATCCCAAAGGGTCCAAAACAAACTGGGGTCCATATTTAATAGAGGAGCAAATTTAACTCATCAACACATGGCATTTTTAAACAGCTGTAGTCTGTTTTATTTTTTTGTTCACAATTATTAAGAAAATTTTTTTTTTTAATTCTTCTCAAATTAACACACACACTTGACGCTTGATTGACTGGTGAAAAGTTTCGTCTAGAACTTGGTGTTGTGAATTTATATATAATTGAATGAATATTAAAAGGAAGAAAAAATATAGAATATAGTGAGATGTAAAATTAATCTTAATTTTAGTCAGGAATGGAAGTAGTAGAAGGTGAGTAACGTCGTGAGGAAAAAAAAGGAGCAATAGATGAAGAAGCTTTGTGAAAATTTAAATAGTTCATACCCAACTACTTGGTGGTAAGTTTCATAAAATTAAACTTTACGCTCTCGATTCATAAATTAATTAGTCATCTTTGAAAGATGGTGTCGACAATTTTTTTTTTTTTTTAACTATTGAAGAGAAGTCAAAACTGTCTAAAAATAGTGAATAAATGATTTAATTTATTCTCAATAATTATAATTTAATTTTATCTTTTATTGCAGATTAATTTATAATTTATTCATTGAGTGAAAGTTGATACTAATTAAAACTAGCCGAGTTTGATTATTCATTATGATATGAATATTTCAAGTTATAGATAATAATTTTTTTATGTCATATGACATGAGCAAAATTCGATTACTAATCCAAGAAATTATTAAAATAAAAATCTTTTACACCAACATTTTTTTTTTTTTTTGTAATAAATTTTTTCGTTAAACATAAAAATATTATTGAAGAGGAAAAACTTTAAAAAATAGAAAAATTTTTTAAAAAAGATTGAAATAAAAAATATATTGCTCTAACATTATTCTCGTTTACATTAATTATAATTTTATTTATAAATTCCATCATCAAAGTATTCTAAAAAAATGTATTTATTTATAAGAGAAGAAGGGAATATTTTCATCAAAATAATGGCTTGAAAACAGAATATCATTGAAATTTAACAATACATTGGGATTCCTTCTCAACTAAAATAAATATGCAAACGAATGCAGAAAGAACTTCAATAATATCAATTACAATAATGCATTTCCTCTGCACTTTTGTAGTTAAAAAAAAATTAAGCATTTCTGGAATTGTAAACTCGTCGAAGGCTACTTGGAGAATCATCCTGGAATTTAATATATATTTTTCAAATATTAGCCTTATGTTAAGCAATTTTTTTTTTGTTTACATTTTCCAACCCTTTATTTTATTTTTATGCAAAAGAATATGAATTTAATCGTTTATAAGCATCGAATTTTTTATTCAACTGTATTTATTTATAATGAGGGATTGTTATCCGTGGTTACATCCCGTTCTCAAGAGTCAAGCTCACGTCATCATATTTTTCTTCACCGACTAATATGGCGACGGATCTACTTGGATGCATCGCCGAGCGGGTGCAGCTGGACGAGGTTAATCACTACTTGACCCAATTTCATTCACGTACCTTAATGTGCAATATGGAATATTGTTTCTTGGGTGTGATATTGTTCTAAAGAAAGCTTGAATCACACTTATATTGTTCTATTATGAGGTTTCTAAGAATGTGATAATTTTAATGATCAATTCTTCTCTTATTACTAATTTAGTCTACAAGAAAAAAGTTGTAAAAAATTTATGCACTTTAGAAAATCCAAGAATGCTGCAATATTTTCTAATGACGAATATAAATGATTCTTGGTCAATGAATCTGATCATGAATCAATAGAATTTCTCTTTCATTCATCATTTTCAAGGAATAATGTATTTTTAACTGATCAAAAAGCTAACTTAAAGGAATAAATTTTCAACCAATGAATGATGTTTTATTGTAGTTTAACACAGGGGTTTATGTCAATTAGTAATTGATCATATTTGAATAACATTATGAAAAAATTTAAATAATGAACTCAGGTTGTTTAAATGGATTCATATAAATTTTAATAATAATAAAAAGAATACGTCAATATATTTATCCTTATAATCACAAAAATAATCACGTCAACAGGAAAAAGATTAAGAATTAATATACCTTCCAACATAATCATTCTTTTAAAATTAATATTCATAAAAAAAAAATTTTCATCAATTTTTCATACGAAAGCAATTTTTCATTTTATTCTAGACTATGAAGAATGTTGTGGTATTTTACTGTTGCCTAGGTTCTAAGTTGACCATCATTTCCCTTTAATATTATTTCTCACTGACTCCAATAAATGACTTAATAATAAAAAAAATAATGATAATTCTTCTAAAATTAGTAGTTTATTGTGGTAGTTATAATATAACTAATAAACGTCGAATATGATTTATCATCAAAGATATATTTCTAAACGAAATCAATGCACCGTGAAAGCTTAGCTCATTCTTGGCACAAGGAAAGGAACCAACGATAAAAAACGAATAACGCAATGATGAAGAAAGAAGAAAAGTCGAAGGGAAGCGCAGGGCTCGCGTTCTCGGCACGAAAGAGCACGAACAGCTTGTACAGGTCAACGTTCTTCCCAAGTGCATTGCCTTGCTGAACGAGGGATGGTTAGCGATATGGTGGGGAATATGGAGAAGAAAGAAAAGAGAGGCTTAATCGACAAGAACGACTGGAATAAGGAAGACGGAACGAGAGCACACGAGAATGCACGAGAATAGGCTGATCATGTATATAGAAGTATACAAAGGAAAATAAATATCAAGAGAAAAGAATTCCATCTGAAATAGAGAGAAACCCAGAAGATCTCTTTCACTCTATATGGAGTATGTATCTAAATGGCTCTTAGGCTAAAGTTTACTGGTGAAGTTTGCAACATTATATATATACATAATTGCTCTCCACATCAACAGCAGCCAAACTATTTCGATACATTTTGCATGATTGCTACAGTGATGGTGTTACTAGAAGATCAACTCTTTCTCCAACAACCCATATCAGATAGACGCAGGATAACTCGCCTAAGAAGATGAACTGAAAGATAATCTTTGGGTTTTATGAACATCCGTTCCATCAAATGGGGGAATTATGTTATCTGGAATTTTTTCTTTCAACTATTTAAGGTAGCCTGGTGGAAACTAGTATAGTGTCTGAATTCACGCCTACTTTCAATGGGTTCATTAAAAAAATTCTTCATTTTTCTACGGCCAACTTGAAAATACTGAATTTATTAAAAGGTGTAATTTTTAAAATAGTTGCTAATATTTATTATGTGTAATTATTATAAATACTTTTAATAGATAAATACAGCTTTTACTAAAAGATTTTCAAGTTAATTGATAAAAAAGAATTATTCAATAAAAATAAAGAGCACAGGCTAGAGTCATAATCAGATACTTTTGATATCTGAAGCTTTTTATCTATAAAAAAATAGTTTTGTAATTTAAAAGTGCCAATTTTATAATTTATTACTTACAACACATCGCTTATTTAAAAAAAATTTACATCTTATTAATGTAGTTAATAATTTTAATTGAGCGAATA